CAGTGGTGTAGTCTACATTTTTGTAGTGGTTATACTGTGCTTAGAAATCAAAGTACACGGGTTAGTAAAATGTAATCAACAATTTATTTAGATTTATAAGCATATTGAACATTTCCAAATTTCTCTGATGCTTATATTTGAATAAATGTACAACAAACTTTGTACAACAGTTGGCTTTGTACTAAAAACATGTTATAGGTTTTATAAGACAGTATCAAAGCAAAGCATGTTCAAGTATTAAGTAGTAAGTACAGAATTATACAATATTTTGCTGGATAGGCAGATGTAATAAACAAGCACTGCATACAGACAGATTGTTCTGGAAGCATTTAACTGCCATTTAACATATCAACAACACATGCCTAATGATATGTCATGTATCATTGGGCACTTTTAAGTGGGTATACTGAAATTCTCAAGCTTTTCTAGTGGGTATACTCCGTACACCCTCGTATCACGTAGAGTACACCACTGATTTTGAGGGTACGTTGCGGTTTGGGTCACATTAAAGTTGATGGAAGATAGAATATAAATAAAGTTGAGAAACCCAAGTTGGGTGGATAATAATAGGTGGCTGTGTATACTATGCAGTCCCCAGTAATAAAAAAAAATACTATTTCTGTCAGGTAAACAGAGCGCAACAAAAATTTGAGGGGAATCAAAGTTTCTAAGTTAGATTAGTCGAAACATCAGCTAAACAATTATTAGTGAAATGTGATGTTCCCTCCATGTCTGTTGTAAACACTAGAGATTTCCAAAGCCAGCATCAGTCATAAATTAATTTTCTTTCCTTCTTGTTGAGTAATTTTCTCAGAGCAACACGTAATCATGAACGAATGCAGGCATTCGGACACACACCCTTTCTTCCTCTTTCTATCCTTGTTTTTCTCATTTCCTTTCTGTATTTTCCTCCTCCTTCCCTCAGACACACACACATGCGCACAAACACGCGCGCGCACACACACACAAGAAAAACAGAAGGTTTTAGAGACAGAACGAGAGAGGAAGCAGCAGTGAGACTGGGCCAGGAGGAGAACAGGGAAGGGCAACTCCTGCGCTGTCCTTCCTCTCTGCATTCTTTTTTATTAGGGTGGTCCTTTCCTTCAGGAGGAGAGAGGGACTGTAAACTGTCCAAGAGGACCGTGAGAAAACAGGAAGCCCCCTCAAACAGCAGAGAAAGCGCGATGAAATCTATTTGCGGGGCCTGTTCTCTGGGGAGGCTTGGGGGGGAGCCATTGTTAGAGAGGTGGTTTGTGCAGCGATATCCTTCCTATGGACAAGGAGGCTCCCACTCCCCTAAACGTCTCTGCTATCTCGTCATCGTCTCAGTCCTTGCACCAAACACCAAGGGTCAAACCAGGCACCGCAACAAAAACGGGGAAAAATCTCTATCAGCAGCTCTTTTGTTTAGTTAACGGTTCAGATTGGGCAGCGCATGAAGATTGGTGTCTTTACCTAAACACCAGGGTGTTTTAGTTATTTTTGCCGGGAAAGATGACCACTTCGTTAAGGTCAGAGAATAATTAGGGGATGAGTTCCTGAACAAAAATGGCGATGACATGCGAGAGAAAAACCACAGTTCTGGTTAAATTGCAGTGTTTGTCGTATTGATTTGACCTTGTTGCAAGTATTTTATCTCTAGAATAAAAACTGTGTGCTTTCTTTTTTTCTATTATACATGTTCAAGGATAAATCAGACAGAATATGTTAAACTATGATTTTAGTCAGTGACAGAAGAGCAACCAAACCTCAACGTGCACCTTGAACTGGTTTGGCTGGTTAGGTTGGACTCACCTTGCATTTGTAAGGTTTGATGTCTGAGTGGACAATCATGTGAGCCTTGAGAGTCTGTTTCTGGACAAAGCTCTTGAAGCACATGTGGCACTGGTAGGCCCGTATGTTGGTGTGGATGAGGACGTGGCGCTTCATGTTGGCCAACAGTGTGAACTCACGACCACAGATGCGACACTTGTGCTCCTTTACACCCTGAAGAACGATCGGATGAGCAGCAAGATAACGATCAGCGACTTTACTACAGTTTGTCAAAACTATTAAGAATATGACACAACCTTAACATTGTCGATGAAGTTTTCAAGGCTTAAAAATGACGCAAGAATGTTTATTTAATGAAAATGGTACAACTGGGTGGAACAAACACTGAAGATAACATAATGACAGAGTCACCCCACTTTTTGTACAAAACAATGACACTTTTGTTTCCAGCTGTTGTGTTGAACCTACTTTATGTGTGAGCGTGTGCTGTTTCAGGTGGTGTGACTGGATGAACTCCATCCCACACTCGCTGCAGATGAACGGCCTGATGTCTTTGTGTTTCATCATGTGGTTCTGAAGTTGACTCGGATACTGGAAAGTCTTCTGACACTCTGTGCACCTGCAGAAACGGAAGACAGTTCATGTGCAACCATACGCAGAAACAAAATGTTCAGCTGTAACTGTCCTGCATATACAGTACCTTTGAGCATCACAATAAGAAAACAAAACATTGACAAGATATGTGATATGTGATACGATATATATTTCAAGAACAGACAATACCGCGTGATACAATGTGATACAACTTATTGCAATACAATGTACTTTTGGAAAGTGCAGTTTTGCTCACCTGTACAACGTTGGACCACGATGAACAGTCAGGTGCCTCTTCAGCTGGGCCAGCGTGGGGAAGTCCAGACCACACTCCACACACACATTCTCCTGCCCTTTTTCATGCTTCAGCTCATGGGCACGAAGCTCGCTGGGGTAAGCAAAGCCTCGCCCACAAACACTGCAACTGCAAGAGCAGAAGATAAAGTTATTAAGTGGTAGAAGTTGAAATAAAAGTGTTAAAAACTGATTTGATGAAATAATAATAACCTGTATGGTTTCACGTCACTGTGCTGCATCATGTGTCTCTTCAGGTGGCTGGTCTGGGTAAAGGCCTTGTGACACACCTGGCACTTGTGGGGCCTCATGCCCTTGTGTGTGAGCAGGTGTGTGTGCAGGTGGCTCAGCTGCTTGAACAGCTTCCCACAGAGGTGACACCCATGTGGTTTGATGCCGTTGTGGCCCAGGATGTGTGTGACCAGGTTATACTTAGAGGTGTAGGACTTCTCACACATCCGGCACTTCCATCGCTTCTGGTCCCCGCCGACGTCCACGTAGTAGCTGTCGTCCACGTGAATGTTGAGGCCGAGCTTCTCTGGGTTGGTCGTCACGCTTTGAGCAGCTACGTCAGGGGTGGGCTGCCTCGAGCGGCAGTCCTCTCTGGGGTAAAAAGCACCAGGCGGGAGGTGCATGACAGGCCCAGGCATAAAGAAAGGATAGGGGAAAGGACTGTGGGGGAAAGGTGGGAAGTAGGGTGGGTGGAGAAGGAAAGGGGAGGGGGACCAAAGAGAAGAAGGACTTGGGGGCTCCTGCTTCACCTGCAGGGGTAGATTCAAAGCTGGTGACCTGTGACGAAGCTGAAGCCTGTTGAGCTCGATCATCCCAGGGATTGGTTTAGAAGACAGGGAGGAAACGTTGCGAGGGTGGAGGGAGACGGGAGCGAGATCCGATGTCTTCTTGCTGCTGTCTTCATCTGCCTCTTCGTCGTCTCCGTCAGATGATTCCCCTCCATAGAGGTCTGATCTGAGAGGAGCTCTTTTTCGTTTTTGGGCTCTGTCCGTCTGAGTGAGGCCAGGCATGGGAGCGAATGCAGGGTGACTGAAAGCACTGTAGGCGTCTGTGGAGGGCGACATGGTGGTGTAACTGGGTGGGGAGAATCTTGGTGGTTTAATAAAAAGAGGGGCTGGGCCAAGGTAGAAACTGTGCTGGGGTGTTTGTCTCAGCCCGACTCCGAGGGGACTTCCACCTGGTGAGAAGTTCAGGGAGTCTTTTTCCATCTTCTTTCTGCAGAAAACAGAAGGAGAAGTACTTGATTTTAATTTCTAGACAAAAGATGTATACATTTATTTTCAATGACTTGACATTTTGACCTTTGAATCTTTTTTTTTACTTCTTATTGAGTACAACTTCTGAAAATAACTGCAGACATGCTGTTTTACGATTTGTATCATGTATTTTTGGTTTTATTTGCTCAGTGTTGTTGATGTTTAGATCCAGTTCTTGTATGTTAGCACTCAAGAGTCGGAAATAAGTCCCAGCTATAGCAACACCAAATTGTAGTTGAATTTATTAGAGCCATTTTTGTTGAGTCAAAAAGTCAGTTGTAGCCGAACATCCATGTTACTTTTTGAGAGTTCCTTTTCAGTTCATGCAGTGATTTAAAAAAATTATTTTGCTAACACGCAAGCTCCATTTAATGCTAAATTTTCCAACAAATATTTTATACAATTAAAACACTCAGAGTATGTGTTGTGAATGACTGTCAGCTACATCTACACCTGATTTTTGTATATGTGTGTAAAATGGACCGATTTTGTGCATGTTTTTATTATGGTCAATTTGCTGTGGTGGCCATCTTGAATTGGGATGCGTCAAATGTTAATCAGTTATAGAATAATTGAATTAGATTTCATTAAAATCTGTCTAACACACACAGGTAATTACATTATCACCTACCTCTTGCCTTTCTGCAGTTGTTAATAACCAAAGCCCCAGGTTTTTGATTACATGTACACTTGGACTTTGAAACGGTCGACTTCAGCTCATCCTCTGACCATGTGTTTGGCTTTCTGTTGACGATGAGGAGCAGTTTTTCAAAGGAGAAATGCAAGTGAACACAGCGTGGTGTCGACACCCACACCTTTCAGTATTTAACCTGAAACTTTTCACTTCTTCCTTTCTCACAGATCTCCTCCTTGTCTGAAATCAGGAAGTTCTCTGTGAAATGTTTACCTCTACCTTCTGCAACCTTTTCGCTTCTCCATCTCTTTTTATCTCTGCTCTGTTCATCTTTTGTTTTTTTGCACTAATGGAAGAACTTCCTTTATTTTTCTTCTTCCTGGACAGTTCTACGTGATGTTTAAATCAGAATTTCTGCAAGCAGTTCAGTCAAATAACTAATATCACAAAACAGCGAGGAATGAAAACGATGCCTGCACAACATACTTTAAGTTTGTAGATGATGAGAAGGTTGATCATAGATGAAAATATGGTTTTTCTCAAAGGGGAACTGTCTCACTTCTGCGTGACATTCACAATAGTGATTAAAAATGTTGTTGAGAACATCATCGTTCTATTCCTGGAAATAATTCACAGCTTATGGGTGAGAACCTGCAAAACATTATTCCAGTCTACCATCACATGACTATAAGTTCATCTGTATCATTGGTAAAAGTTAATATGCATGTTGCCTTTTACATTTGCAACCTTTACGCTGCAAGGTGTATGTAGAGGGGTAAAACAAATAGATTAAATTAAATATTTTCATGTTTTTAGGGTATATTCTTGTAATATTTTATACATCTCTGTCAAAAACAATCAAAATATGAGAATAAATACAAAATATGTTCCTGAATCTAAATACTTGTAGTGGTTTGGATTGTTTTTATTAATATTATTAGTGTGTTCAATTTGCAGTTAATCTAAAGACTTTTTATTGGGTTTGCTTTGGTATAAAAGCTCAGAAAGATGTTAGATTAATAACTGACAACATTGGGGTAAAGTTTTATCATAATTAAATAGTCTGTTTCAGAGCTTTAAGTCTGTATCGAGACTTGTACACCTGCCTAAGATCAAATATTACACTTAAAGGTGATGAGCAATCATCTTTTTTGCAGAGCATCATAATAATTTATCTTTAAATTTGAGTGAATAAATAAACTATGTTAAGGCAAAGAGGAATTTAATGTAAATGTGTAAGAGGTGATATGATCCATATGCAGAACTCAAGCATGCAAAATGTCAATAAGTCTCTTTCCAGGACTTTTAAATAAAGCAAGATGAAGTTTTCATGTTTCTTTTACATGTGGACACTCTCCTGCTCCTCATCGTCATCACTTCTCCTGCTGAAGCTGCTCTGTGCAGAGACCCCCTGCCTGTTGCCTCACCGTGCATTCCAAACAATCCATTAAAAGTGAAGCCCCTCCTCACGTGCCAGTCTGTGCCATGCAAGCGCGTGTCCTGTCAGGCTGCAGAGGAGCCTGTGTGGAACTTACCAGCTGAGTGCTTCTCTGTGATGCTTTGGCTGAAGTGCTGCTGCTGCTGCTGCTGCTGCTGTACCTGAACCTGAGTTCTCTTCCTCTTGCTGGGTCTGCAACTGTCCTGACAATGAGACGCCTGTCCACGGATAGCATTTGAAGTGACTTAAGAAAGAGAACAGGAACAATCACTTTGTTCTCATTTTTCAGATGAGTACCTTCGGAGAGAAGGAAGGAAGGGAGGGGAGAGGAAGTCAACAAGCCTAGTGCTTTCCTGCAGAAAAATAAGGAAACACTCGATAGACATCTCCATTTCTCTATGAAATAGGGATTTGCAAAGGTTTTTGAGGAACACAAAGAGGAGAGTTGATGTTTTTTTAAATGCTATTTTAATTGTTGAGGGCTGAGGTCACATGACATGATCACTATTCTTTATTCTATTTACATATTTATGTACTATGATTTTTTTAATAGATATAAAACTTTAAGGCTATATTGCATTAAAACAATTTGTTCCAACTGATAAAGGTAATACTCTGATTTCAGGTACACAATGATACTTAAACATCATTAAAAAACCAACACAAACACCAACTATAAAACAAAATAATTTGATATTTTCAGCAGTGTGATGCAACATAAGAAAGTACAAAACAATATGTTACAATATAATACAACATAATACAATACAATATGACAAACTGTAGCATAACATAATGCAATGCTTTTCAACAAAATATGATATAATACAATATATAAAAATACAGTGTAATGTCAAACTGGTTGAAAACCACAAAGTCCATGCTCAATAATCCAGGTATACAATCCAACATTTTTCAGTCATGTCGTCTGGACAGATGACATGACTGAAAAATGTTGGACAATGTAATGTAATTTATTAAAATATGATGCAGTTCAATAAAAACATATCCAAGTATATATATTAAGTCAGAAAACTGACGTTTATTTACATTTATGTGTGGGACTTACAGTATAATTTGTACAGCAGAAGGTGTGTGTGTGTGGGGGGGGGAGGGGGGGGCACTTTTGCACCTTATCCATTAGTACCAGTAATTGGAACCTGTTACTATTTTCAGGACCCTTGGCTCTGTGGTTCTAACCCAAACGAGTAGGTACTAAACCGTGACGTCAGAACACTGTTGTTCGCTGATTGGTCGGGGGCGAAGTCGGGGGTGGAGTCACTGGATCCTTCAGAAACTTTTCAAAACAATGATCCGCCATTTGCAATTTCTCGGACTGGAGCAGCGGCTTTTGTGGCTCCAGCTTGATCTGGTTCTGATATATGGCATAGAGATTAAGTACTTATTAATACATCCTCAGAATCCTGTTCTGTCTGACCATTTTTTAATAACCTTTGAGTTTACATTAACTGACTAAACAGCCACTGAGAGTAAATTTCATTACAGTAGGTGTTTATCAGAGATGCTGTGACTAAATTGAAAAAATCTCTTGCATTGTTATTTTCCTCTGTCATGCAGAGTAATTCAATAGAGAACAGTGACTTAGAAGATGATGTTGATAATTTCACAATTTTAACGCAAAATTCACTTGATAAAATTGCTGCGTGGAAAAAGAAAGTGTGCATAAAGAGAAAGCTGGATCATTGGTTCAATTCTGAGTTACATACTTTAAAACAGGCATCAAGAAAGTTGGAATGAAAATGGCGCTCTACTAATGTTGAATAATTGTATTTAACTTGGAGTGATAGCCTGCTAACATATAAGAAAACTCTCCTTAAAGCTAGAACTGTATATTATTCATCTTTAATAGATGAGAATAAAAATAACCTCAGGTACTACCCAGATATACATACTTGTAGTACTGAACTAAACAGGTTTAGTACTATAGCTAGACTAATGAAAAATCCTGTCTCTGTTGAGCCATGTAACCATACAGCTACAAGCAGTGATGACTTCATGAGCTTCTTTATAAATAAAATTATTTCAATTAGAGAAAAAAATTCACACCATCCTTCCTACTATTGCCTTTGATTCCCTGTCAGATGAGGCAGCTTTAGAAATGTCACTAGAACCTGATTTATGCTTGGACTGTTTTTCCTGTTGAGCTCTTTGAATTATCAAAAATCACAACTTCATCCAAACCATCAACATATCTACTAGATCCCATCCCAACCAGACTGTTTAAGAGGTATTTCCCCTAACTGATATCCTCACTTTGGATCTGCTTAATTTGTCTCTAATGAATAGTTATGTACCACAGCGTTTTAAGGTTGATGTAATTAAACCTTTACTTAAGAAACCTGATCTTAATTCCAGAATATTGGCCCAATTATAGACCTATATCTAATCTAACATTCATTAAAAAAAAATATTGAGAAAATAGCTGCAAATCACTTGAGTGAACATACGAACAAAAATAATCTGAGGAGCTTCAGTCAGGATTTTGAGCTCATCATAGCACTGAAACAGCACTGGTGAAAGTTACTAATGATATTCTCATGGCCTCATACAATGCACAGGTGTCTACGCTGGTCCTGGTAGACCTCAGTGCTGCATTTGATACGGCTGATGACAATCTTCTACTACAGAGGCTTGAATACGATATTGGGATTACAGGAAAGGCTCTAAAATAGTTTAAATCATATTTATTTGATAGATTCCCATTTGTAAAGGTAAATAATGAATCTTCTTTATACACCAAAGTCAGTCAAGTAGTTCCTCAGGGTTCAGTGCTTGGACCAATACTCTTTACTTTCTATATGCTTCCAGTAGGTAAAGTTATTAAACAGCATGGGATACATTTATCTGGGTGTCCAAAAAATGTTCTAGTCTGTAGTTATAATATACCTTGATGAGCAATCTACAAATAGATAATTAAAACTATTACATATACAAATATACTTTGTACATCATTGCACAGTTACCATTTTTAATAACTATACAAAATGTATGTGTAACAATTAAAAAAGGAAAGCAACGTTGCATGACGCCTACTACAGAAGAACAAGTCAGTCAGCCTCAAAACTCAACTCCATGAGGCATATTGTTTTTGCTCAGTGATCCCTCACAGTGTAGCTGGAAATAAAATACTCATAATTTTTTTTCTACCACTAGCAGAAGCATGACCAATGAAAGCATCAAAACAGTGAGGACAATAATGGATTAAATGCGTCAGCACAACCACCAGGAGGTAAAAATGGCCAAGAGTCCAGTTTCCACCTCATTGTTCTGATTGTGACATATACATCTAAAAAAACTTATGTCTTTACTTTTGATACAAAAAAGTTAGTGGAACATATTTAAAGTCTTACCTGAAATGAGGAGGTGAGTAATTGAGCTCATATCATTGCTGAGGTGAAGCTGACGTTTGTGGCCTGTGGTTGATCATTAGTTGTGTTAATTACCTCATAAAAGCAATTAACCTCAGACCTGGACAATGTGTGTGTCAATTTGTGACTTCTTTTTACTTGCACGTTCTTGCAATCTGCTCAAGGTTTTGCATCTTTGCACCTTACTCAGTTTATATCTCTGCTGCAATAAAAATAGAAAAACTGACACTAACCACATATCAGAACATGTTTCTACCTCATGTACCACCTACACATGTACTAATCAACACATGTCTCTAGTCTTGTTTCTTAATTACTTGTTTAGATTAGGTTAGATGTCTTTTTGTATTTATTATAGGTCTGTTTGTATTTTTTGTACTGTTGCGTATCTGTACTGTGTGTTGTTTTGTTTTGCACTTTATGTTCTGTGTTGCACAGTTATCCTGGAGAAACGCTGTTTCGTTTCAATTTCAATTCACATCAGTTTCAATTCAGTTTATTTATATAGTACTATGTCACAAAAGAAGTCGTCTCAGTACATTCATTCATTATATATATATATATATATATATATATATATATATATATATATATATGTATATATATATGTATATATTTATATATATATTTATATATATATATGAATAAGTTAACATTATTTATCTGAGGAGCAGACTGCTTTGAATTTAATTCCATCACAGAACTCTCATCTTGAGCAAGCATGAAGGCAACAGTGGAAAGGAAAAACTCCCTCATGAGGAAGAAACCTTTAGCAGAACCAGACTCAGGACAAGCAGCCATCTGCTTTGACCAGCTGGGTTAGATAGGAACAGATACACAATGGCAGGTCAAGAATCACTTTAAGATAGAAATAATATCAAATGACAACTATTCAATTTTAGCAAATCATTTAAGGAAATGAGGTCTATTTGTCCTCCAGTAGTCGTCTATAGGAGCATAACAAGCCAAAACTAACTATAGGATTTATCAAAAAGGAAAGTCTTAAGCCCAGTCTTAAAACTGGACAATATGTCAGCCTCACAGACAGAAATTGAAATTTGGTCCCACAAGAAAGGAGCCTGATAACTGAAATCTCTTCCTCCGATTCTGGTTTTGGAAACTCTAGGAACCGCGAGTAAATGCTTCAGTATACTCCGCAGAGAGTTGAGAGTTCATACTCGAGTGTCCACCCTGGGCGGCTCAAGACCAGCTCTGCAGACAAGGGGCGTTTACCTTCAGGATCAACTGAGTTTGCGATTGGTCATTTGTTGACACGCCTACTGGACTGATTGACTAGTCGCAAAAAAAAAAAAAAAAAAACAGAGCTGGCAGTCCCATCCGCAGTGATGTTCTGTGTTTATATGTTGTTACTAAAAAGTTCTAAAAAATAAAAATAATAAACAGGGAGCACTGGCCCTGCAGCCCACACATCAGACCAGACTACCAGGAAATCTCCAGACCCTCCTGCAGCCACGATGGACCTGATTATAATTTGCTCGTGACAAATTCCTTAATTTCTCACCATTTCTGTCATGGTGTCAACGGAGAAAGAGGAAGAGATCGTTTGCCTCTTGGAACAAAAAAACAAAACAAAACAAAAGAAAAGGCCATTAAACCAGACCACGGATGAAGAAGGGGAAATTACTACATTGGTGTCACATACAAAACAGTCCGTCGCTGGGCAGTTTATTGTGCGACACCGAGTACGGTGCGCAGTCGTAAAAATTGAGGCTAAAACTTCTATATACTTTGATTTGTACTTGTACGTGGCTGAAATGACAATAAAACCTCTCTGACTCTGAATTCTTGTGCGGAATTAAGTACTTTGTTAATAGAAAGGGAAGTTTTTAGACGTGTCTTCCTTTGTTGTCATCATTTATCTACAATGTACAGATAAAAAATAAACACTGACTCTCCAAGCCATCATGCTGGATGAGGTTCAGGAACACATCTCCTCTGAGAACCTTTCAAACTCGTTTTTATTTTATTTTTTTCTACTTGCTCTTAACTTGGCAGGAAACTATATTTAAAAGCTAAACGAAATTTCCTGAAATCAATGTTTTTTAATTAAAGCAGATTGAAGTTCTGCCACCTTCATGACCATTGATAATCTGAATAATTTCATCTGCACTTGCTCTTTTTGACCTTCCTGGTTTTTCACCAACACTAATTCATGGTCACGCTCTTTTAATAATGAAGCTCAGTGTGAAAGAACCAAATTGGACAACAAGGACCTCCTGGCCCTTTGACCTGAACTTCTTAAAGTCAGCTTAGTTTCCGGAGGTGAAACGTGCTCATTAAGGCTTTTTAAGTGGCTTTTTGCTTTCTGTGTCACTCTCAAAAAGGTGTTTTGGAGGTATATAAGGCATGTTAGGAAAGGAAAAGCAGAGACCTCAGCAATCAGTCCGGAGCCTCTTAGACAAGAACATAAAGAAACAAGTGAGTAGCTTTGATCTTTGAACATGTGTGTAGCTTGGATTTTATAACAATTTAAAAGAAAACTGTTTCTGATTCGATTTTTCTTCATTCTCACCAGAAATGAGTGGAGTTTCTGTGTCCGTGTGTCTACTTTTCATCCTGTCTGTATGTTCGGCGTGTTACATCTCCAACTGTCCCATTGGTGGGAAGAGGTCCATCATGGATGCACCGCTGCGCAAGGTGAGCTGCTTTTATCAACATTAGCTCTGACTTTTAGGATGCAGAGTCCAACAAAAGCATCAGCTTGGAACCTTAAACCTTAGAAATGTGTCTCCTGCAACTTTAAAGAACTGATCTGCAATCATTATTGATTCAGATGAACAAAAACTCAAATGGGAAACAGGCAGATATCTTGTACCAACCTTAAATTGAGACACAAACAGAAAGAGCAAATAAAAAATTTAGAGTAGATGTTAATGTTAACATTGTAAAGATCATATTAACCCATAGTGAACTGCCATACATTTATTTAAATTTCAACAAAAAATAAGTCCACTCTTTTACTTTCTTACCTTCATAGTGCATGTCTTGTGGACCCGGAGATAGGGGCCGCTGCTTCGGCCCCAGTATCTGCTGCGGGGAGGGTCTCGGCTGCCTTCTGGGCTCCCCAGAATCGGCTCGCTGTGTGGAGGAGAACTACCTGCTCACCCCCTGCCAGGCAGGAGGGCGACCCTGTGGAGCTGACGGGGGCCGCTGCGCAGCTTCAGGACTCTGCTGTGATGCAGGTGAGAAAACTGGGAGTACAAGGAAATGTAACAAATCATGTATATTTGAGCAAACTTTTAAAATACTTCACATGCATGAATTGTAAACAATACAAAACCCCTCATAATTAACTTTAAATACTTTGTGATTAAGGTTATTTTCTCAGTACACGTCATTGCAACATAAATGTAAAGCAAGCTCAATATTGTCAAGTGACAGAATGGTGCTTTTTACATATTCTGTTTAGGATTTTTATATCTATGCACCAAAGATTTATTTGTTCTTGTGAGGCAGGTTTGATCCTGTCTTTAAATTATGTATCAAAACGCAATAAAACAACCCTGAAAAGCTATCAGAGAATAAAATGTGATCACACTTGTCTAAATAGGAAAGATGTTTTGCTAAAAAAAAAAAAGGAGCTAATGAAAAGTACTTTATAAAATTTGTCACTGTTAAAAAGTAACTAATGTTTAAAAAAGTATAGGCTATACTGTATATAAAATACTTGAATAAAATCATGTAATTTAAAAAAAAAGATACAGGCACAGATTTCAATCACTCAATCAATCAAACTTTATTTATACAGCCCTTTTCAGCAGCCAAAGGTGCACAAAGTGCTGCACAATACAGAAGTTAAAAAGCATCAATTAAGAAATAAAAAAACAGACAGTTAAAAATTAAAAACAAACAATTAAAACATAGCAAGATTGCCAAAGAATTACTAGGTATTAAAAGCCTGCCTGAATAAAAAGTTTTTAAAATTAGACTTAAAATGCTCCATATCAGTGATGGAGCGCAAGTCTTGAGGTAGATGGTTCCAGAGTGGGTGCAACGACAGAAAAGGCCCGGTCACCCCATCGTTTGTAGTTGGACTTTGGGACAGACAGGAGAAAAGTATTGGATCTGATTTGTCTTTTTAAAAAACCTGTGTAGAAACATTTTATTTCAGGTGCATTTTACATTATTTTCTGATAAAAGGTAAATGTTGAATTCACCAGTAGATTTCTTAGCATAGTGGAGGTATAGATGCAGGAATAACAAATACAGTTACATTAAAAACTGCTGAAAATGACCCAACATGAAGCAGGACTTCTTTCTGTGGCTTTAAAAGGCATTTTTATTCAAATCTAATTAAAATGATTCATATAGCACATTTTAAAACTGCTGCTGGCCAAAGTGCTGCACACACACAGTAAATAAATAAATAAATAAATAAATACATCACCTTTTTTTCAAAGACTTTTTGAATTCTGACTGGAGCTGAATTTTGAGTTTGCTTGGTTTTTTTTCATTTAAACTGACTAAAATACAATTTTACAAATTCTCCTTTATGGTTCCTACTTAGATGTTAATGGATCTGTGCAAGCTACAGAGTTGTTTTTTCTTTCGACTGCTCCCTTCTTCAGGGGTCACGTCAAACTAACTTGCATGAAGACTTGGCAATCGTTTTATGCTGGATGCCCTTCCTGAGGCAACCACTGAGCTACCACAGTCTTCTGTGGAGCAGGGGGCTGCTCAAAGGCCCAGAGTGGGGAAAATGAGGGTGGAGGCAGGTGTGGGTGTTTCACCTTTCCCACCCACATTTAGATGTCAGTCTGGGAGTGTTGAACCAGGCGACCTTCCGATCACAGGCTCACCTTCCATAACCTCTGTTCCTCTTCCCACCCTGTACAACCTACAGAGTAAAGCTTAAAACAACAAAACAGCTGTAAAACTTTTTTCTGTCCTGCTCCACAGAAAGCTGCACCACAGATCAGTCCTGCCTTGTCGAGGACGACACAGACAACCAAACAAGCCAGTCTGAAGGCGGCAACCCGAGCGACATCATCCTCAGGCTCCTGCACCTGGCCAGCCACACTTCTCACCGGATCCACCAATGAGCGCCTGCCTCTCTGCACGGACACAAGGGGACTTGTGTTTCCTGCTGTATAGTTCTGTTTCTAAACGTCCGTCATGACTTGTTGCTCTTTCTCTTGTGCTTCTGTCTTTGTTGAGTTACGTTTATGTGTGGAAGAAAGGGATGAAAGTGGACAGCTCATCCAGATTTCTGCATGAATAAAGTTTGGAGAGTATAAAACGTTGCTTTGTCTTTCAGAGCCAGTGACTTTTTTATTTTAATTTTGTCTCCACACACTAAAGAACGAGTCAGCATTAGTCTTATCACACCCCGTGTTCGATCATACTATCCACATAACTGGTTTTTATCTTTTCAGACCCTCACTTCAGGTTGTTTGTACTTTCTTGGTAACCAGTGACTAAATCACTGTTGCGACCTTTAGGGTGATTATCTTTTCACCTTTGGCCCGTTCTTTATCTTCATGGCTCGATTGTGTTCATTTTTAGAATTAGGGTCGAACAATTTCATTTTAAACAGAACATGGTGAAAATTTGACACAGATAGAGATTAAAAATGATTTCATGTTGTGCTGAATAAGACTTCTTGGTCAGATAGTGTTCTGTGAAACCTTCAAAGCCTTATCTTTAAAAGTGAGATCACCTGACTGATGTACCTTTGAAATCAAATTTGGACCATAGTTCAAGCTGAAGGTTTGTGCACAAGCAGCTGGTGTAAATATATAACCACTATATTAAAAAGAGAAAATTATTGCATGAATTATGAATTTAAACTTTACAGCCTAAGTGCAATGCATTTGGTGAAATTAAATATTATTTTTTAGTTTTAGGCACTTTGACTTTTTATTTTTCCTATCAATACCTTTCATTGGTTCTTCAGCCTACATTTTTTACTGATGGCATTCAACACATGGACATAAACAATTTAAATCTTCAGGGGGTTATGAGTAAAACGTGCAAACAAAGACAAGAAGAAAACATTACAAAGTGAAGACGTGGAATAACTAAAATAAAAAGGGGGTCAAAAGAGACTAATTAAAAGGAGGACCATAAGTTAATGAACATGGAAGGAAGGAAGAAGGAACATCCAGTCCTGTCAGCAGTTTCTCAAGTATGTCATCATCCATCAGTGATGAAATTCAACTTTTATGACTTTTATTCATTAAAGAACTGTGTCACCTTTCCTGCTTTCTCCATTGCAATGAGGATTATTAAACTGTACAAATTTTTTTTTTATTCTTTTTTCTCCCCCCCCCCCCCCCCCCCGGCCTTTATCTGCTGTGGTCAATCCTCTCTGTTGCAGCGTGAGATGATCTGCAGCTGCCTTAATTTGAATCACCTGTAGTTAATCATTGATCCC